ACCGTCCCTACCCCTTCCCTGGGCTCTGCTGTTGAAGTCCCCAATCCTGTTTTTAGTGACTGCAATCGGCAGAGACCCTCCTGCTAGAGATCCCTGCCCCATGCTGCGGAGGAAGGCGAAAAAACCTCCAGAGGCTCAGCCAATCTGCCCTGGAGGAAAATTCCTTCCCGACCCCAAATGTGGCGATCAGTAAGACCCCGAGCATATAGGCAAGAGTCTCCAGCCCGACCCCGTTAGCCTTTATACTATTTACCCACCATTGCTTGGCTTTCCTTGACTACTATGTTTTATCATTAAACCATTCCCTCCATAAACTTATCTAACTTTATCTTAAAACCAGTCTGCCTCACTAAGTTTACTGTCTTGGGTATACAAACAAAGCAGTGGGAAATGAGAAGTGATAAGGGCAGGCTGATTGGACATGAAGTTTACCATGTTCCACAATTTTTGTTCAGATTTTGATTTGTTTTTTTAGTGGAGTAAATATTTTCCCATGTGTAGTTTGGAAATCTTTTTCTGACAGAAGGATTGAGGATTGTGGTTCTCTACTGGTATGATTACCCGGCCTGAGAAAAACTTGCAGAACACCCAGATCCAAATTCTGTTCTGGTTCCTTGGGCCACAGTAGTTGTGCATTCCACCAAAAAATTTATGATTCCAATGTACAGAATAGTCCACCTGGGATTTCCTTCCAAGTCAATCTGTGCAGACATCTCTTATCCGTATGGAAGATAAAACAAAGTGATGCAAGCTGTGAAACAAGTTTTAAAGTCAATTGCACTCTGTTCTATTTAACCAGCTTCTGGGTCTGTTCAACATTTTAAGTGTCCTATTTCTGTGTAGTTCCTTCTGTTTGTTGCAATTTATGTATCCTGCAGCTGTTCTCAGATAATGGACATATTACTAAAACTTGCTATCCTTCAGTGAATGTGGTTTCAAGGTTTGAACTTTCTAAAAGAAAGCTCTCTGCCTAGTGTCCAATGGGTATCAGTGGTCACATACATGCAACTTTTTCTGGATGTGCAGAATCACATGATTCAGGAAAAATGATCTGCATCAAAAAAGCAGTTCCGTATACATTTTCTAGAGCCAGGCCATTCATTAGAAAGGTCCTGGTGGTCTCTCTGAAGTAGGTCTGTCCAAGTCCAGAAAAATAGCTCAAGAGTTGTTCCATGTGCAAGCAGTCAAAGAGTAACAAGAATGCAGCTCACCTTCTCTGAGTTCCGATGTTTATAGAACCAAATACCACTGTTAAAATGAATACAGCAGTCATGAACTGGCACAACTGCAAGTTTATAAATTCTAAAATCTGCCCTTTTCCAGTTAGGTAAAATCTTCCCAGTCCTACTCTTCGTTGTACTTCTGTTTTAGATTGTATTTGGACATACTAGCTTATAATTAAATTCTTTAAATAATGAGGTAGAGCAATAAAGAGAGTGACTACTTCTGCATATTTGTGACTCCACATTTGATCATTCAAAAGTGAAAAAATATATTTTTTTCTTTCAGTTTTACAATCTGTCACAAGACAGAAGTTGTAAAAAATACATTAAATCCAGTGTGGCAGGCATTCAAGATCTCTGTCAGAGCGCTGTGTAATGGAGACTATGACAGGTAAGATAAAGACAGTTCTATATGCAGAGGTCATTTTCTTTTAACTTACAAATTCTTGCATGAATAACTTCTGTAAGCATTGCTGCTTCTGAATTTTTTGGTTGAGTTATTTAATCTTCATTTTAGAAGATATAAAATTAGTTCAAAACATTGGTTAAATTTAAAAAAATATTTATCTGAATCCTTTACTTAGATGTGAGCAAAGTTCCTTTTAGGTAGGAGATAAGTCACAAGAAATAGGCATTTCACATAAATGAACAAGGCAAAAATATTAATCATGCAGCAAGTATCATGAGTAATTCAGACTAGTAAATAATCCTCTCTCCATCAAAAGGAGTCACTGCTACTACTGTGCACAGAAACTAGTTTCTGCTCTGCTTCAGTGAGAAGCAAATACTGATGCACTACTTTCCTCAGGGGTGGAACTTGTATATCAGAGGCTGCTGGGGAAAAGTCCCAGAAAAAAAATAAGGTATTTTATCAAATGATTTTTGTCTGCAGTGTCCAGCTGCCACATACATAAGGACTGTATGCCTGAAGTGTATATAGGAGTCAGACCAGCTCAAGACCCAACCATGCACAGAGTCTAGAAATGTTTGGCATCTCCAAAACTTCTTACAAATAGACATACTCCACATTAAATTCTGACAGGACCCACCAGAAAAAAAAAATTTAACTCTACATGTTGACTACCTCTCATTGTTTACCACCAGTGTTTTCTAGGTGCACTGAGACATTGCTGCAATTGCAACTGGCCCCTCTCAGCCCATTTATCGTGTCCCTGCTTCCTTGTCTCAACCTTGTATCTGGAGCTGTTGGGACATCTCATCCAGGCCTCAAAGGACACCAAAAATGTACACAGGACACCAAAAATGTACACAGCAATCTGTCACTCAGCCTACTCCAAGTAGTCAGTACTAAGCCGCATAAGAGCAAGAAGCATTCTCATTCACCAAGAGCTGAGAACCACACTTTCATGATAATAAGCCTAGCAAGCCTTTCTCTCCCTAAAGGATACAAAGAAATCCAAGCCTAACTGACCCAAAGTTTTTGAGGAGAAGGGGAAATTTCTTTATCATTCTTATTGGAACTGTAGGTTGAGGACACTTTCCTAGGTATTTTTAATATTGAGGACCCAAGCAGAGTAGAGTTCAAGGCTCTTGTCTCAGTATATTGCACTACTTTCTGTAGTAAAGGAAAAAGTTTTCCCAATGATTACAAAAATGAAAACTGTCCCCATATGTTCCAAGCCAGCGGACAAAAAGGATCAATTGTGTTTGAAAAGGGTCTGGACAATAAATCTTAGCTGACAAAGGTGTTTAATAAATTGTGAAATGCTTCTTAAGGATAAGTGGAATTTTTGAATTTCCTTATGAAACTCTTTATGAATTCCCATATTTCAGAGGGCTCTAAGAAATTGTATATTCACTTATAGCGAACAACTTTATCTGACCTGTCAGACAGGAAGAGGAAAGCACTTTAAAGGAGGTATATATTTGATACAGGTGATGAGGGCTTGAAGGCAGATCTAAATGCATCTTTTCTCACTAAAGACATTGACATTTGGGTAGTGCCATTATACCTACTGATTTTCTAGTCAGTGCTATTTTGAACTCTTTCTAGATATTTTGCTAAATGATGTTGAAAACAATACACATTCCTGTAATGAATTAATTAATCCAGTAATGCTTTAAAAAGCAAAAAAGCATTTTCAGATCTTATCAGTCTTACAAATCTATCATAATACATCCAAATTCCAACTTCCTGAAGATCTCCCCCATCACACCTCATTCATGTCAGGGAAAGAATAATCTGTTTTCTCAGAGTGAAAAATCCAAAATGAAAAAATGTTTTAGAATACAAGAAACTTAAATCCTTTTGGTATATAATAGCAGTTGTACACCAGTGTGAACTTTCAGAATCTGTAGGTTTTGAAGACAGATTTAAATATCTCTTGCACGTCTCATGTGAAATGTAAAAAATTGAAGATCAACAGCTAGCCTTCTCACTATGGAACCCCCTTTGGGGAGAGTATGTAGCCCTGCTCAAAGAAGATTTGTCCATCCTGAAATGGGCAGAAAAGAAACTTTTGGCACTCAGTCATTCACATAGCTGGGAAAATAAATATCGCTACAGACTGGCTGAGTCTTTCTACCATGTACCCTAAGCAACGGAGGAGCCATTTTTCCACATATATCATCTAATTTGTAGGGGGTAGAGAACTCATGGGAGATTTGGCTATTTGCCACAATTGAAAAGTGGTAACTATTCTACAGCAGATCAATGGTACCACATTAGAAGGCATAGACAAGTTATCTGTTGTTTTTGTAAAAATCCCAACATTACCCATACCTTCTCTCTTAACCCTTATTCCCAAATTGCTAAGAAAATTGCACCAAGTTGGTCTCCCAAGTGTCTGGTTTGTTGAACTGACACTTTGGACTATGGAGAAGCCCTGGCGGCCAAATAAACAATCTTTTGTCTCAGGAACTGATTTACCATGACATTTTTCCACTATCTATCACTGTGGCATGGTTTGTGGCTGAAGTGTCAAGGTGTGTTTGGCTAAGTAACTAGCACTCCTCTCAAATCTTGAAGTCAAGTAGCAAATACTAGAATAACAGCCTCCTTGTGATGTGCTGCTTTTTATGATAAACTAACAGGGGTATTTCCCTTCCCAGTGCCAATTCTAATTTTCATAATTTTTCACCAGTGAGACAAACTAGTCTTTGAAGATGTTTCCATCTTCATTCTAAAGAGTAACTTTCACACTACTCAGGAGGCATCCTTCACTTCCTTCTCCATGAACCTGAAATACGTTTTTAAAAAAACACATTATATATTAAATGATGCGGTCTAAGTCCTTAAATTTTACTTGGAAGAGAGGAAGACTATCCAGACTACCTCATCCCCTCATTGCCTCTTTTACAAGAGAACAGAGAGGCAAAACAGCTCCCAAAGCATTGATTTCTTCTTTAATTCATTCAACTATTTGTGAAGCATATCTCCAAGGAAGAGTTCCTTTCCAGGAAAGAACATCAAACCAGTAGTCTGAGGACTAAAATTAAGTAATCTAATGTGTTTTAAAAGGAGGAGGAAAATCAGTAGGTATATTTTCTTATGTCCCTAGTTCACTTAATTGATATTAAATAGAGTCCATTTAGTACTGGAGCTTTTCAGAAAACAGAATGTTCCTCTTCCTGTAAATGGTTTTTCTGAGAAGAGACAATCTCCTGGTGTTTTTGTTACGGTATCAGTAGTGATGTTTGATGTTAACAAGGTCTGTTAGTGTGTTAGTTCTAGGGAAGCCATTTTCCTCAATACTGTATACACTAGCAGCAGTGACACCTTGAAGCAGGAGAATCTTCTCCCAATTTCTAAATATGTCTATGAATCACCCATAAAGAGTCGGAGGCAGGGAAACCTTTTTTCATTTATGTTATCATTCAGCATTTGCTGCTCTCTCTGACTCTGAAGACTGTCTTATGGATGGATAAGTGGCTAATAGTTTGGCAATTTAGGGTATAATTTCCTAAAATATAAAGATCACATTGTCAAAGTTGTGCGTGCTGGTTGCATGCATAAATAATATTAAGAAATACATAGCAATATAAGAATTGCTATACTGGATCTGATTGCTAAACTAATCCAATATCCTGTGTCAGACAGTAGCCAATACTATATTCTTCAGAAAGAGGTACAAGATACTCTCTAGAATACAATTAAGGAAAACCCATCCCTAATAGGAGTTTCTTCCTAATCTTGTCAATTAGTGGGTAGTTGTAGATTCCTTTTTTTTTTTTTATTCTAACATTCATGGATATAGCCATTATCCATGTAAATGTCCAATTCTGTTTTTAGTCCTAGAAAGGTTTCAGCCATAATAATATCTGGTGGCAGTAAGTCCACAACTTAATTATGTGTTTTATAAAGAAGTTTTTCCTCTTGGTTTAAAATTTGCTAACTTTTTCAATTACCTTGGATGTCCCCTGGTCCTTGTATTATAAATAGGGCAATGATTTTGTCATGGAAGTCACGGCAGTCACGGAATCTGTGACTTTCAGAGACCTCAGTGACTTGAGTCCCCAGCACCTGGGAGCTGTAGAGTTCTCCGCCACTCCTGGAGCCGGAGCTCCGAGGCGGCGGGGAGACCCCAAACTCCTTGCTCCTGCAGGCAGCGGGTCTCCCGGGAAGTCCCAGCCACTGTGGGTGGCGGGTGTACCTCGCTGCGGGCGGTGGGGGGACCCTGCACCTCCAAGCCAGCCCGCCCCCCCCCCCGGTTGATGTGGGGAGCCTGCAGCTCCCCATTTTGTCATGCATATTTTTAGTAAAAGTCACAGATAGGTCATGGGCGTCTGTGAATTTTTCTTTGCCTGTGAACTGTCCATGACTTTTACTACCAAAATATGCATGACAGAATCTTAGCCTTAATTATAAGAAATGGTAAATGGAGCATTTGGTTTACCTTCTGAATGCCATTCATTTTTGGGGGGCTTCTGTCATATTCTCCCTTTATAACAGTTCCAGAGTTTTCAGTTTCTCTCATGAAAATCTTTCCAGGTCTCCAGTTATTTTGTCACCTGATTCTAAATCCCTTCTGTTTTTGTTATAACTTTTTTGAGATGCAGTGACCAGTTCTGAACATGGTAATCCTGGTGTGGGCATTCTATTGATTTATTATAATAGCATCATGTTTACATTACATTTATGCATCCTAATTTGTCCCAGACACTGCAAAAAAAAAAAAGGCAAGATACCAAGAACATGGTTTAACTAGGCTGTAACTTTATTAAGTAACACATCTGGGAAACCATCTAGTTATAACTCATCTACTGTCATCCTTCCCGTTCTACTTGAGGGAGGGGGGCTGTCTTCAACCTCCACACACACCTTTAACTTGGTCCCCACACTGTTTCTGGGACTCATGCCAACAGAACAGGTGGGTTAGCACCCCTGCAATGGAAATAAACTCTCACATGCTGAGGGGGAGGGACATCGGCTTGGAGGTGAGAGCAGGGACCCAGGTGGGCTGAAGAGGCTGCTGCAGGGCCCCGGGATCAGGCCAGGGAGCAGGGAGTGGAACCCGGAGGGCTTGACTGGGCCTGACAGTAGGTAGGAACTCTTGGGGCCCTCCTTCCCAGCCTAGAGCTGGCTGCCCCCCCAACTCGCTAAGCTCTCACTCTCCTCCCCTACTCCTCCTTCTATCCTTCCAGCCCCCATTTTTAGGGCGCTTATGCCCTCCAGCTGGGATCCCAGTGCCCTCTCCTCACATGAAAGATGATGATCTGAGAAAAAAGATTTGTCTCCTCACTGTACCAGATTTAGAAGCCAAAACTCCATTCCCCATCTTCTTTAGGAGATGCCTTCTTCTAATCTGCTTCCGTTCCTGTTTATCAGGGAACCAGACCCCTATTGTACAAGCACCTGCACTGGGTACCTGCTGTGTTGTGACAACATGAGTTTTACAATCTAATCTATCCACTGGGTCCCTGAGCTGCTGAAAAGAAGGTGAAAATACCCACAGCATACATGCCAACTTGGTAATTCTATCCCAGCCACCAAAGGGCAAACCTGGTCCTACTGTAGTCCCAAAGAGGAGGGATTTGTTGGTCCTGAGTGCAGAATAGCAGTTTAGACAGGGGGAAGTGTTTATAAACCTGCCCCTTGAGTGTGTAAGTGCCAGTAGGATTATGCCACTTCCTCCTATTCTTGCTTAATCAGTCAAAGAGGGCGCCCCCCGCCCCCAAGCCCATGAGGAACAGGGAGGCAAAGGAGGGATGCGCTCCTTAAAGGGGCAAGGGTTTTCTTTCCTCTGCTGGCACGGTCTGTCTCCCCACCTCTGAGGTGGCAGGGATAAGGGTCAAGTTTGCCATTTTGACCACTGCAGTATGTTTAGCAGAGGCTTTTATTGAGCTGTCCCCATTGACAGGTCTTTTTCCTGAGTAGTTAGTTACTTTCAATTAAGAACCAAGAAATGTGTAGGGTAGTTCATATGATTACTTCTAATGTGCATTGCCTCTCTGAAGTTCCTCGGTCTTCTCTAGTTTTTGACTAACCTAAATACCTTTTTTTTCTCTTCGGCAAATTTTGCCTGCCCACTGTCCATGCCCTTTTCTGGATCATTAATAGACATATTAAATAACACCAATCCTAGCCAGAACTCTGGACCACCCCACTGTTGAACTCTCTGTATTATCAATATGTGAGAGATGGTATTGTTAGCAGGTTTTGTGCTTGCACCCAAGGCATATTCTGTGGAAATGATCCCGTAAATCCCATGTAAAAAGAATAAATTTGTCTTTAATGAAATTTTAATTGTATTTATTTTCATTAACTTTTTTTTTTAGTTGAAGAAAATTACTTGGACTAAAATGAATTTAGTATTAAATCTTGGCTGGTATAAAATGTTTTTTGTAGGGTGCAGGATGGCTAAAAATGTTAAATAATGGGAAATCATAACTAAATAGCTCAAGGAAGTATTTTCTACTCAAACTGAGCAAACAGCCAAACTGTCTGACCTTCCTGCTTTTAATGGAAAATTAATATTTGAAAACAGAGTTCATTTTCATTAGCATATTTTGTTTTCAAATATTAAGCATGGTGTTTAGTGAAAACTTGCATTTTAAAAACATGTTTGTTTATATAAAAAATTTTTTTGCAGAACGATTAAAATAGAGGTGTATGATTGGGATAGAGATGGAAGGTAAGATACTTCTGTATTACAAATCACTAAAATTGGATTGTGAAAATGTTATGTATTTTAAAATTAATCTTAGGGGTTAATTGTTCTTTAATGAGAATTAGATATGCATATAATGTCAATAGCTATTATGTATGTGTATCAAGAAAGGAGTATAGTTCCACATAATTACTTCCTTGTTTTAACTAATATCCTTTTTAGATTATTGTAGAAAAGGCCCAATCCTTGCATAATTTCCAAAACTCACTAAAGGTATGAGAGCTGCTTGGACTTTGCAGTATTGAAGCTACTCTCTAATAATAATTCCAAACAGGATCTGCAAGTTTGTTTACCCAAGGGTTATTGTAAGCCCTAGGGCTATAGTAATTTTGCTGGGCATGGTCAACCTGTAGAGCGTGTGTGGAGCTCTTCACTTGAACTTGTTTCAAAAGAAAGGATTTGTTGTGCACCTTCTCTGCTCTCCTTCCTTCAGTAGATGTTGAGATCCACATCACCAAGTACAGCAGGAAACCACTCCCAATACTAGGCTCCATGCTGAACATGAAGAGATCTAATGTTTAGATCCAAGTTGGCGGCTGTTACTTTTTTTTATTGGCTTTATGCTTTATTGGCTAGTTGACACTTTTAGCTTCTGAATATGCTGTTTGGTTAATGAATATGCAACATTTTAATTGATTTGTTTGGTGACAGAAAAGCTTTAGATAACAGTTAAAACTAACTTTATAGTTATTTCTTCTGAGATTATTAAAATTTTTATTACTTTGCCAGAAAATGAAATTTTGTTTTGAAAAAGTTGAAACTTCTATTCCTTATATAAGTTTTTGGTTCTTAAAGTAGTTATTAAAATTAAATAACTCTTGGAAAGTCTTTGGCCTAAGTTATTATTTTACATGACAATTTTTGAAATGAAGATTTTCTTATATTTTTGCATTGGGTGAGGTTTTACTTGTGTGTTGCCAGTAATTAATTAATTCCCCATTAATATAAATATTTTGTACTTTAATAGCGTTATATATTTAGTAATTAATCTAGCATTAAATAGTCTTGCTATATTTGTACATTAAATATTTTACTACTCATATAACAAAGATATTAGGCAGTTCTTATACGAAGGCTTGCATTTAGATACAAAATATTTCCAAATATACATGTTAAAATAAGCTTATGCCATCTTAGGCATTTGAGAAACAAACACCAAAGATTTAAGTGGAAACGTGAGTTCCACCATAAATATTTTTTCCAATGTTATTTTTTAAAGAATTAATCCTTTAGTATATTTACAAAATAAATTAATTGAAATAGGGATAATTTTGGAACTTTTTGTGTGGATTTAAACTTAAGTTTTTCTTTTAAAAGAAAAGAAGCGGATGGGTATTTTAGGTCCACTTTACCTTTAGATTTATTGCTTTGATAACACAACCCTTACAATCAGGTTCCTTCCTAAAGGTGTTTACATGATTTGTTTGCTTGTCCTTGAGAGCTAGAAGCAGAAACCTTTTTATTAGCTTTAACATTTTGTAACTTAATTAGCTAAACTTGTGTATTGTCGTATTTTCAAGCATTTTGGCTATAACATTTTTGTAGTTATATTCAATAAAGGTGAAAACAAGTTTGTAAAATCTTTTAAAAAGTTTGTTATAATAATTTTATTAATATTTTGCATCAATACTGAGGTCTGTCCCCCCACAAAGCATTCCCTTAATCTGCTGTATGAACTATGTGATCAATGGATTCTACCACAGGGGGGTGAGCAGTATCTGCAGAGCCACTATTTCCCCTCCCAAGCAGGTAGATGGACAGGTAAAAGGAGTGAGTAGAGCCTTGGCTTTTCCCCTCCAGTGCACAAATCAGCATAGTTTAGGACTGACCTCTCCCAATTGCAAATTACTTCCTTCCCCTTCCCACCCAACACATTTCTCTCAAACACACACTCGACTCTGTCATGGTGCAAGTGGGGAGCCAGAGAGAGAATGGAGGTCTGTTGACAGTTTCTTTTGGGTTCTGTTCACAGTGCACAGTCTTTATTCAGTGCTGGTTGTAAATTTGCAATCTAGTTCTTCATTCTGCGTGGGTACAGTTAATGTAAACTATCAGATGGATTCAATCAAATCTATTTATAATTATGCTTTAGGGGGGAAGAGTAATGAACATACATTATATTTAAGTCAACAGAATAACAAGTCTTTTGCTATCATTGCTTTTCTCACATGTCTATTCATGTGTCAGCTGTGCTTCACTTTAGATGTATTTTTGTAAATTAATGGAAAAGTAGTTTATATTGTGCATGTGTTGATTTGAAAACTTTTTTTTTCTAGCCATGATTTCATTGGAGAATTCACAACAAGTTATAGGGAATTGTCTAGAGGGCAATCACAGTTCAATGTATATGAGGTAAATATTTTGAACTTTTCTTTTTATTTATCTTGAGGAAATGGATAAAGTTGAGAACTTTCAATGTTTGCTTGTCAAATTGATCAGTGTGCAGGTTTTCTATCAGAATTCAAGCCTTTATAAAGGGGAAAACAGACATTCTGGGTCAAAAAGGATTGTTTCAGAAATAAGTTTGAAAGCCTATGTTCTTTGGACAAGAGCAGTATCTTCAGTGCTGTTTTGAAAAAATTAACAAAAAATAATCTCTCTTGTTCTATAGCTCTTCTTTCTCAGTATAGTTTTTTTTTTATTTCTACACAAAGCTGTTTTAAACAGTGTGTATATGGCAAACAGAGCTTGCCTAAACTGCCAAAGTAACAGTTAAAAGAAAAAGAAACACTTGTAACCTTGTAATCTTACTTGTAAACTTGTAATCTTTGCTTAGTGTTTCATTTCATAATGTATCACTGGATTTATTTTGTCTCTATAGCAGCCATGAAGCTAAATTGTAATCGGTTTCTTTTAAAAAGTTTAATCAGGCCTCAGGCTAGATTTGTCAGATGACGTGTTGGTTTCCTAACATCAGTAGTCATAACCACATGACCTGCTCCAATTTATTAAAAAGGAAAATGTTCATTATACCACAGGAAGCAAATTAAATTCAGTAAATATATTCTACCAATGTATCGTAAAGGCTGGTTTCCCTTATATATATAAAAGGCCATTCTCTTCTTTGAACTTGGGTGGTATCTGTCCTCCTGGAGCCAGTCAGAACTACATTCAGCAGGCATCTGGTGTATACCTTATGATGCCAGGACTCCCTTCTCATTGTTTGTTAGACTGTGAAGGAAGAACTTAGTTTCTTTTTGATATGTGGCTGCGCAGTGCCACTGTACACGTGAGCAGCAGCTGCCTTTCCTGTCTCTGCAGTATTGGTAACCAGAGAGGAAAAATACCTTTTAGTGTCATTCCACATAGTCGTTGCTGATTTCCTTCTTGAAACTTACAAGGTCTTGGAGAAGGGCAGGCATGGACAGTCGTGTCAGTGACCTCAGTGGGATCACCACAGAGGTGCCAAGTTTTTTGTCGCTCCATATATGACATTTAAGAACATAAGAACGCCATACTGGGTCAGACCAAAGGTCCATCGAGCCCAGTATCCTGTCTACCAACAGTTGCCAATGCGAGGGTGTCCCAGAGAGAGTGAACCTAACAAATAATGATCAAGTGATCTCTCTCCTGCCGTCCATCACCACCCTCTGACAAACAGAGGCTAGGGACACCATTCCTTACCTATCCTGGCTAATAGCCATTAATGGACTTAACCTCCATGAATTTATCCAGTTCTCTTTTAAACCCTGTTATAGTCCTAGCCTTCACAACCTCCTCAGGTAAGGAGTTCCACAAGTTGACTGTGCACTGTGTGAAGAACTTTCTTTTGTTTTAAATCTGCTCATTTCCCTCATTACCTCCCTGCTTTCTTCTTAGGAGTGGGGGCAAATATGGGCAGGACACAGAAGCACAAGCAAACTACCCCAGAGAAGTGGAAGCAAAACTGTGTAGAAGGGGAGAGTCAGGAGCCCAAAAGCAGGTGATGTGTCTGTCACAATTCAGGGCAACTGCACCTGTATTCCCCTCTGTGGTCCATCAAGGGCTGCTGCTCTAGGCTCCTGGCTCATCACTCGTCACCTCTCTTAGATGGAGACCTTTCCCTCTCTCTCCTTTCTGACTAGAGTGTTTTTCCAGGCAGCATGGTTCCCTGCCTACATTGTGATATTCCCAGCATCCCAGACTGCCTAAACAGGCCTGTGTCTGCTCCAACTCCAACAAGGCCTCTAATAGGCGTCAGTCCTTCAAGTCTCTCAAAGGGTTTTTTCTGTGGTTACAAGTTCACAACAGCCTTAGCTCAGAACTAGCACACCCATGAATTGTTCAGTCTTTCATTTATACAACTTGGGCCTTTGAACTTCATGTTCCAGGAACTGTTATGGCAGACAGTGGTCCTTTCCTCAGGGTGTAGCTTTAAAAGGCTGGATTTTTACATAACCAGAGATGGAGAATTTGCATTCACCTTCCCCTACAGATTACGCAGGTAAACCCTTTGACACTGTTTGTCCCAAAAGTCCACTCTTGTCTGGGACATTGTTTAGTATAGTCCTTTGAAGTTCATAACACTTCCCAGTATTCACATACTGTGTGTGTGTGTGTGTGTGTGTCTGTCTGTCTGTCTGTCTCTCTCTCTCTCTCTCTGTCTCTCTTTCTCTCTCTTAGTTAGAATTAGTTAAGTGCACCCGGATTGGGGCATGCCCCGGGCTATAAGTCGTGTGACACTTGCAAACTACCTATGTCCGTGAGTGATCTGCACGCGGACTGTTTACCCTGTCTGAGGGAAACCCATCTCCGCGACCGCTGCAAGATTTGCAGATCCCTCAAACCTCGGACCAAGAAGGAGCGGGACATTTGGCTCCAAGCCATTTTGATGGAGTTGGCCCTGACCCCGACACCGCTGCACCACTCCGAATCGGCACAAAGAGCACCGTGGCATCGGTGCACGGCAACCCAATAGTGCCCTCCATCAGTTGGCACCGCTCTCCGTCCCAGGACACTCTAAAAAGGTGAAGAAGATGGCTTCTCCACCAAGGCACCGGAACAAGGCTGGGAGAGAGACTAGACCCGTGTTGGGTAGCTCTCGGTCCCCGTCGGCCTCGCGGCCTCCGACTCATGTTGAGCGGAGTAGCCCAGCCCACTTTGAGCCAACCTCCCCAGATGCCAGTGGCCATATTTGGATGCCCTCCATGTTGGAGGCCCTGCAGGCAGCTCGAGACATTGTCTCTACCGGTACTGGTAGCACCACCGTCAACGGCTCCCCGGTCCAGAGGCAAGCTGCCACTCGGACCCCCATAGTTGCCGCCTGGACGGTACCGCTTACGGTCGAGGGAAGGTTCCCGATGCTGTTCTCCGCTCAGTGACTGCCCCGTGCACAGCCTGCGCTGGTCCCTGTCGACCCCCACCAGGTTGTCTGGCTGAATACCGACCAGTAGGGGTTCCAGGCACTGCTTCGCCTCAAGGGAACAAAGATCTCACGATGAGAGCATGCCCCGCCGAGACCAGGACAGACGGCACTGGAGGTCATTCTCGCCGAGAAGCTATTGTAGCCCCTCATGGTACGGATGTCGACGCCATTTCCACTCTTTGTCTTGTTCAAGGTCCCTGCCACGGCATTGTTCCCACAGCCCCAAGTGTCGATTGCCGGCACCCTGCCATCGCAGATCCGCCCGTCGGAGCCATTCGTGGAGCAGCCACTATAGACAGTACTCCTGTTCTTCCATGCCAGGATCACTGCTCCCGCCGCTGCCACTTTTCCCCATCTAGGGATAGCGGTCGATCGTATGCCAGGCTGGCCTCCCTTCAAAGTTGACAGTCAGTGGGCCAGGCGGGACAGCCCGCTCCGATGGTGCCACAGCAAGTGCAGTCGCACCGGGCTCCCTGGCCAGCACCATGGTACCAATGGGCCCCGTGGGCCCTGACGCAGCCACTGGTGGAGGCCGGAGCCTCAGAGAGGCCATCAGCCTCCCACTCTCAGCCTCCCAGAAAAGAGTCAGTGGAGCACTCATCCCCAGTCCTACACTCAGAAGGGGACCAGGTAGTGGACCTGCGGCACGCCCATTGTGATCCTTCCCTGATGAGGCAATCATAGCCCCTCCTCTGCCCGTCTTCTAGGAGGACACGAAAGCCCACCAGGAACTGTTGAAAAGGGTGGCATCAAGCCTCAATTTACAAGCTGAGGAGGTGGAGGAACTCTCAGACTCCCTCTTCAATGTTCTCTTGGCTTCAGCACCAGCCAGGTGGCTCTCCCACTTCATGAAGGGGTGGCAAAGATCTCGAACGCCCTATGGCAAACCCCGGCTTTCTTGCCCCTCCCCCCCCATGTCTAAAGAGGGCAGAACAGAAGTATTTCGTGCCTGCCAAGGGGCATGAATTCCTGTATACCCACCCCATCCCCAACTCTCTAGTGGTCAAGTTGGTCAACCATAGGAAGCATCAAGGTCAACCCGCTCCTACTCCTAAAAATAAGAACTCGAGGAGACTAGATCTATTCGGTAGAAAGGTTTATTAGTCTTCGAGCTTCCAACTGAGGGTGGCGAACCACCAAGCCCTGATGGCTAGATATGTCTTCAATTTGTGAGGCTCAATGCCCAAATTTGCAAGCTCCCTCCAGGAGCGTGATAAGAAGGAGTTCAAGGCTCCGGTTGAGGAAGGCACGGCTGTCGCCAGGGCGGCCCTTCAGGCAGCCTCGGACGCTGCAGATACGGCTGCAAGATCTATGGCCTCTGCGGTGTCCATGAGGAGAGCATCATGGCTCCTGCTGTCTGGATTGTCCAGCGAGGCACAGGACTCTTTACAGGGCCTTCTGTTCGATGGCAAGGCCCTGTTTGCGGAACAAAAAGATGTGAAGTTACACGGTCTGAAGGACTCCCGCACGACATTAAAGACCCTTGGCCTCTATGTCCCGGCCCCAGCCAGGACCAGATTCAAACCGCAGCAGGCCCCCAGTCAGGCCACCCCTCCAGACACCCCTTATAAAAAAATCAAGGAACTATAAAAAGCACCTGCAAAGGCAATCCTGGCTTGTGCCCCAGCCTGGGCCCTCTAAGGGCAAGTAGGTGGGTAAGCGTCAGTTTTGATGGGATGCCCGGGGACGACTTACCAGTTCGTACCAGAGATCCACCCGACCTTCCCTTCTCCAACCGCTTATGTACTTTCCTCCTGGAGTGGTCATGGCTGACCTCAGACTGATGGGTCCTCAACACTGTCTCCCAGGGCTATACCCTCCAGTTTCTTTCTACCCTACCCACCCACCCTCCATCCCCGTCCCTCTTCAGGGACCCCTCTCACGAGAGCTTACTCGAGCAGGAGGTGAGGTGGCTCCTTGTCTTCGGAGCGGTGGAGGTGGTGCCAGCAGAGCTCAGACTCCAGGGGTACTACTCCTGCTATTTTCTTATCCCGAAGGCCAAAGAGGG